GGAGAGCGGGGCAGGGATGTCGCCTCCAGCCCTGCTCGCACCTCCCTGGAGTTTCGCCGCGCTGCCACCACCTCTGGCGGGCCCCAGCTCCGACAAGCGCGGCTACAACGCTCCCCCCTCCGCGGGTTTTGGGGAGGGGGACACCTCGCCCAAGTTTAGGACGGGACTAGCAAGGCTGGAGCAAAGCGCCCGAGGCCACGGGCTGGGTCCGGCCGCTGCCCAAAGCCAGGGCGAGCACCCACATGCCAGCGCCCACGCAGCCTGGGGTGGCTGGGAGCCCCTCGCCGCCCTCCCCACGGCCACTCCTGGCTCCGGGACAAGTCACGAGCACCTTGCTCACACTGCCGGCACCTTCCCCTGCCCTCCCCGGCTGCACCTCGGCCTCTCCCGCCTCCAGTCCCCGCTCCTCCAGCAGCCAGGGCTGGCAGGGGACAGGCCACGGGAATTGCTGCTCCAAAAGCTGCCCACACCGCCCGGACCAGCCCCTCCACGGCCCCTTCCCGAAGGCCGCTTTTCCCTCCTGAGTTTTAATTAGAACATTAAATGTTGCGAGGGCAGGGAGGGGTCAGCCAGGCAGGCAGCGGTGGGCAATTCCTGCTGGCAATGTTTATGTTCCTTAGGTGATTCATCAAAGGCTGGGATAAGTAGGAAGGAGGGTTTTGTGGGAAAGGCACAAAACCGGGGAGGTGGTACAAGAAAGAAAGGAAAAAAATTAAAGATCAACCAGCAGCTTTGTCCTGACCTCCCAAGGTGATCGGCACCGAATTAATCTTTGGACTTCAGTCTTCTCAGCAGTGGAAATATTGATGGTTCAGCTCCTCAGCAGCTTGGTTGGGTGCCCAGGGCAGGCTCAGAGGGGCAGGGACTGTCCCCGTGGGTTTGCTGCCCCATCTGCTGTGGGAGCTGTTAAGGAGACGAGGGGATCCAGTGGTAAAATTCCCTGTTTGCCATCCCAGGCTGTGCCCCGTTCCCAGGGCAGCCCTTCCACCCTGGGACAGTGGGGATGAACGGTCCTGGACACAAGAGCAGCAGATCAGAGGTCTCTGCCCAGTGGCGGTGGGACATCATTTCTCCTCTGGCCAGCCAGGGGCATCTCCAGGCCGGGCCGAGGCTTCCTCCCACTGCCCAGCACCTTCCAGCATCCCTGGCATGACCATCCCAAAGCATGGACCCCTCCCCCGTGCAGCTCAGACCCCTCCCCAGTGCCCCAGGGGGCTCCTCTGCAGCCACACGGAGCAAACCTCGTGTTTCTCTCCCTGGGAGAGACAGAGAGGCTGGAGCCTGCCCCAGATCCAAGGGAGACACTTCCCCCTCCACTCCCAAAACAGACGCCCTCCGTGCCAGCACTTGCTCAGGGAACGCGGCCACCGAGGCGTCACCGCCCCCGGGCACAGCCTGGGATGTGCCGGCAGAGCTCGGGGAGGGAGCCGAGCCCCGGGCACCCCGCGGAGCCCACGCGTGCCAAAAATACCGAGTGGCTTCTCCGAGCTGCAACAACTGTGATGGGGGAACTCGCAGCCACGTGGAGCCGAGCTTCAGCTCCTCCTGCGCCTCGTGGTTCAGTCCCTGCCGAATTTGGGGGGCTGAGAGCATCACGGGGGGGTCCAGCATCTCCACAGACCCCACTGAGCTGCCCCATTGCTACTCAAAGCCCCCTGAAATCCCCCCTGAAATCTGTGGGCAGGCCTGCTCTCATCCTGCATCCCACACCTGGGTTATGTTGCTGTGAGCAGAAATCCGGCTCAGGGAACCTGGGCAGTGGGGACAGCTGAGCACCAAAATTCCTTCCTCGGTGTTAAAACCTCAGTGCAGCCCAAAGGGGAGGGAAGGGAAAGGAGGGGAAGCATTTTCAGCCTCCCCAGCACACGAGGGATGTGTGAGAATAGGGAACTGGGGGGGCAGAGATGCTGATTCCAGGCAGAATCTCTTCTCCAGGTCAGAAATCCCTGGTTTTATTCACTGAGAACTCTGATAAGAGCTTTGAGCAGCAGAGAAGCTGCTCATGAGATACAGATCTGGTCAGCACAGCATGACTGCCCCAAGCACATCTGATCTTCCCAAAGTCACATATTCCCTTGGTCAGAGCGGCCAGTCCAGCCATGGGGACCCCTCTGTGCTGTCACAGGGGACAGATCTGTCCCTCCTGGTGCTCTAGCCATCCTTCCTCACGCTCTATCCATCCCTCCTGGTGTTTCACCCACTCCTTCTGGTGTTTTCTGAACCTGATTCCGTCTCCGAGCAAACACAGAGCAGGAGCTGAGCTGCCTGAATGAGAAAGGAATTCAGCCCTTGTTCCCTTCATGGGGAAGTAAAGCTCAGTGAGGCAAAGGTAACACAAAAACCCCACTTGAGATCCCCAATCATTAACAGAAATACATAACCAGAAGGGTTTCAAATGATTTCCTGCTCCAGCCGGAGTCCAGGCCGGCTCTGCTGATGACAGGTCCGGCTCCAGCCCGCAGAGGTGGAGGGAGCCCAGCTCCCTGCTCAGGGTGAAGTGGATTTTATCCCTGCACAGCAGGACCAGCCCACGGCTCTGGCTCCTGCTTGGCAGGGAAATGGTTTTTCGCTTCATCCTCGCCCAGCTCTTCACCTTCCAGCGGGTTATGTTCCCATCGCTGCCAGAGTCCGAGTCAATGATGATATTGTCTTATGAAATCAGACCTCCCTTCCACGGGGAAATATGACCCCGCTGAAATAGTTTTATCGGATCTTATGGAACGTTATTCTCAGGAGTAATTCTTCCAGTTGTCTCCAGGTGGAATAGCTGTGGTTGCAGACACACCTCTCTTTGTTCGCCCAGCCGCTCGCCGGTGCCAGGCCAGCCAGGGGATTCCTGCTGCTCGCATTTTCTGAAGTGTCACTCTCTGCCTCTGGCAGATTAACAAACTCATTCCCACACACGCACGGGAACAATCCCCACGCCTCTCCCCTCTCCTTTGAGCTGAGAAGCTCAGGCTAAACATAAGCCCTGTGTTTACACCAAACCGTGCGTGGCAGCAGAGGATGGAGGAAATAATTGTCCCGGGAGATTCCACAGCTCAGCCCCACATTTCCTTCAGGGCTCACATGCACCCCGTGGCATCAAGTGTCACAGAATCACAGGATTATTAAGGTTGGAAAAACCCTCCAAGATCATCAAGGCCAACCTGTGATCAAACCCCACCTTGTCAGCCCTGAGTGCCACATCCAGTTGTTTCTTGAACAGCTCCCAGTGCTTAAAAACCCTTTCCCAGAGGGAACTGAGCACGATCCCAAGCACAGCCCAGCCCCTCACCCTCTGCTCACCCCGCACACAGGCAATCCCCAGTCCCAACAAACACTTGCTGCTGTTACAAAGCAGCTGTGAGCTTTATTTTTAACATCTCTATCCCTTGCCCCAGTCAGGAAATCGTTGCTGCTGGACTAAGCTGGCATCAAAATGGAAAATTAAAAAAAAAAAAAAAAAAAAGCCAACCCTAATTTAATATTTCTGGAACATCGATTCCTTTACTTCATCAAGGAATTAAGAAGAATGTTGCAAAAGCCGGATAAAGCAGCAGCCAAAAATGCAGATTAAATCCACTGGATCCCAGCACCAGCTCATCCTTCATCCCAGAGCTGTGTTTCCATCTCTGCACCCAGAAATGCAGCGCAGGGAGTGGGAACAGCCGAACACCCCAAACCCTCGCTCTGGGATTGACCCTTGGCACAGCCCAGCTGCTCTCCCCGCCTCGGCTCCCACCCCAGGGCTTAATCACTCCTCTGCCTCCAAAGGTTATTGTGGAAATAAACAGGGTTGGAAAGGCGAGGTGCTGGGATAGCACCTGCAGCCAGCAGGGCCCGTCCACCCAAACAGGGCACAGCATCCAGAGGATGCAATTCCAGCTGGGATGGAGCCACCCCCCACTCCCAGAGCTGCTGCTGGCCCCCGGAGAGGCAGCTGATGAGTGGGATTACAGAGCCTTTCCTCTACCCAGCTCAGCTCTTTGGGCAGCCAGAGATGGGATCTCTGATAGCCGGACCCACGGGATTGATCCCAAGTGGAAATGCTCTCATCCTCCTGCTGCTGTGATTTCAGTGCTGAGCAATGCCGACCTCGCCAGCGCCCACAGCGGAGCGGGCAGAGCCTCAGGAATGAGCCCTGATCCACGTGCCCTGTGATGAATTCCCTCTCTCCCACCCCCTGGATCCATCCTACTGCCCCTCCCCATCACCAGGACAGTCAGATACGCCCTGGCCCAAATCCATGCCCAAATCCACCTGCGGGAAGGGCGGGGTGATCACGGGCCTGGTCCAAAACCCTGCACAGACACAGGGAAAGCTGAGGGCACTCAGAGCCCGCAAGGTCCTGCTGCAACTCTCCCCTCTCCCCCTCCCAAAGCTCCCAGCTGATGTTTGGAAGAATTCCCAGCTGGTCC